TATGTTCATCTATGTGGTAGAAGAAAAGAATGTGTTGCCATTCCTTTCTTTCCAAAAGGAGGAGAACAGGAAAGCCCCTCTAGTAAGGCAGCTTCTAAAACTGCTAGACATTTTATTCTTGCGTCCAAGAAATATTTGCTAAATTCCTACTCTATATGTGCCAGGCACTGTGCTAGATGTGAGGGTTATAGCAAAACAGACACTGGGGACCCTGTCTGTACAACATTCACAGTCTAGTTTGTGGTGGGAGTGGATGTGGAAAAGTAAACAAGTAACAGTCCCACACTGGGTCTAGCACTGACTAGGTTATGTGTCATGTGGTATGAAAGCACAGAGAAGTGGCACTGAAACCCAAGAGGAAGAAAGGAGGAAGATATTCCAGAAAGAGATCTCATATTTACATATTACTACAAAGGCCAAGGCCCCAGGGCATCTGCCCTTCCTCTGATTAAACAGATCACCAGAAATATGGTCAAGTCAAGCAAAAGCCAGTTAAGAAATAAGGGGAATTTATATGGAAGGAAAAGTAGAAGGAAGAAAACATTTTCTTTTCTTTTTTTTTGTTTTTGTTTTTATTTATTTATTTATTGCATTTTAGGTTTTGGGGTACATGTGAAGAACATGCAAGATTGTTGCATAGGTACACACGTGGCAGTGTGACTTGCTGCCTTCCTCCCCTTCACCTATATCTGGCATTTCTCCCCTTGCTATCTTTCGACACCATGGAATATTATGCAGCCATCAAAAACATTTTCAACGATGCTCCTTGTTTTCTTTATCAACCCAGGTACTATAAGCAGTTGATGAAATAAAGTTGAGGGGGGGAGATATAAAAAGGAGGAGACTAATATAAACACCACCACCACCAAAACTAAAAGTAACAAGTTCCTATGAGCAATGCCCTCACTAGGACAGAATCTGACCAAGGGTAGATTTTTCAGATATGTTTATTCTGGTAATGAGAGTGCCCATTGAGATAAACTTTCAAGAAGGATTTTTGCAACCAAATTCAAGAATCTTGTGCAATTCAGTCTCTGTCTAGGAATGTATCCAAAATATGGGGGAAACTCAAAGAGTTGCTGAATAAGTGTGTTAAACAAGCATTATTTATAATTTGGAAAAATTGAAATAATTTAATATACAGTAGTAGAAAAATGTTAATTATATGTAATACATCCATATGATGGAATTTTGTGCAATCATGAAAATTGAGTTGGAGGCAATAGATCAGAACAAATTCTTTCTGTGGGCTGTTTCTTACTTGGGGTGTACAATTTTGCAGCCAGAACTAAAGCTCCCTTGTTTTCACCTCATTACTTTCTCTCTCCCTCTTTATTCCAAACCACAGCACTTCATATATATTTTTATGCTTTTCTCTTCATTTATTTATCTTAGTAACAAACCCTAATTCCTTCCTCTTCTATTTAATTTCCATAGTAGATATATTTCAAAGCAAGTTTTCATGACTTTGCAAACAAAAACAAAAATGTGTGTATGTATGTGCAGGCACACATAACTTGTACAATCAGTGACTATGTAAAAATATATAGCTAACAGGCAGCTGTGATAAACCCTAGAAAAGAAGGGGACTGGAGGGCAAGAAAACTGAAGAAAAAGGAGGCTTCCTTTCACCGATTATTCTTTGGTACTAATTTTAAATACTGTAAACATTGTCTTAGTCTGTTCAGCCCACTATAACAAAACCACAGACCAGGTGTCTTAAAAACAACAGGAATTTATTTCCCAAGGTTCCAGAGGCTGGGAAGTCCAAGGTCAAGGCAACGGCGGATTCCATGTCTGGTGAGAGCCCATTTTCTGCCTCTTAGACAGAACCTTCTTGTTTTGTTCTTTCATGGTAGAAGAGACGGGGGAGTCTCTCTCAGGCCTCTTTTATAAGGACACTAACCTCATTCATGAGAGCTCCACCCTCATGACCTAATCACTTCCCAAGGCCCCACCCCCTTTCAGTATCCATCATTTCAAAATCTGAATTTGAGGGGAAACATGTATTCAGCCTATAGCAAATGTATTATCTGGTCAATATATAAATAAGCATATCTTGTAAATAGAATGTAGAAATAATCTGATAGAACATGATCGTTTTCATATAAGCAACCATAGGCCTAGAAAACTGAAGCAGTTTTCCCAAGGTCACTTAATAAATTAGTGCAAGTGCTGATATTAGAAGGAAAAGGATCTGGCAGAGATAGAAAAAAATTTACCGAGAATCTGGCATTTAATTCTCTTAATACTTCTGAGAGAAATGTTTTTGAAGATCAAGAAATTGATGCTCAGAAACATCAGGGCATGCTTAAAGGTCACACAGTTGTGGAGGAGAAGCTCGGGTTATAATCTGATTCTACCCTTCAACTCTCTGGGCTCTGCTCTTTTTAAGTCTTTCTGATGCTCTGCCCCTCTCAGTCCAGAATTCAGTCAGCTAAATTCTGTGTTGTTTATCTAGTCCTTGCTGTCCAAGACACTACCCTCTCATTCTTTTAAATTCTTCCTTATTAATCTGCATCATCCCAAAGGGCAACACTATACATCCATCCAAACTTTACTTTTTCTAAATAGAAGAGAATCTTCCTAAAGAGAGACTCATAAGTCAACACATTTTCACAGCATTTCATGTAATGCTATTTCACAAGGAAATCTACTATTTATAATTTTTTATTGTACTTTGTGTTCGGGTACAAGTGCAGATCATGCAGGATTGTTGCATAGGTACATACACGGCAAGGTGGTTTGCTGCCTTCATCCCCCCATCACCTATATCTGGTATTTCTCCCCTCATTATCCCTCCCCACCCTCCCCATCCCCGCTGCCCCTCCCCTAGTCCCCCCTCACTGACTGCAGTGTGTGATGCTCCTCTCCCTGTGTCCACATGTTCTAGTTGTTCAACACTCACCTATAAGTGACAACATACAGTGTTTGGTTTTCTGTTCTTGTGTCAGTTTGCAGAGAATGATGGTTTCCAGATTCACCCATGTCCCTATGAAGGACAGGAACTCATAGTTTTTTATGGCTGCATAGTATTCCATGGTGTATATGTGCCACATTTTCTTTATCCAGTCTATCGATGATGGACATTTGGGTTGGTTCCAAGTCTTTGCTATTGTAATCGGTGCCGCAATGAACATATGTGTGCATGTGTCTTTATAATAGAATAATAATCTTTTAAAACTGAAAAGCAACTCTACCTTCCTTTATACAGTACCATTAGGCTGTGGAATTACAAACCTGAGCCACATCATTTCTTCCACCCTTTACTGGAAGATGCAGCACTCAGTATTTCTGCAAAAATCATGATCCACACGAATACAGTAATGGAAAACACAATTGAGTAACTATTTGCATTGGTTTAAGCAAAAGTGGGAGAAACCACAAATGGATGGACAAGCTCTCTTGTTTGACAACAACAGGGAGACATTATCACTCCTTGGCATGAAGAGATGAGGGAGGGAGTAGTTATTATAATCCAGTAAGAAATGGGGCATTCAGTTACTGCCACTGTAGCCCAGCTGGGAGGAAGTCAGGGAAATAAGTCTCATAATATCACACTCTTCCTGCCCTCTGATTTCCTCAGCTGTGTTCCTGTTAGCCTAACCCAGCTGAAACCAGAGGGCAAGGGGATGATTAGGGAATACCTCCCAGGATTCAGAATGAGGCTCTAAGAGGCAGAAAGCTGATCTGCAAAAGCATGAAAAGATACCCCACATGGTTTCTATTGCAAGCAGCATTATACCTTTCGGTGGTCATTCCCTCCACTGACTGACGGTTGTGTGGGTCTAACCTGACTACTGACTTGTAACACGCAGTTCTCTGTGGTTCTGAAATATTCTCCAGATCCTAACTGACCACCCCAGGCTGCAGACTTTTCCATCTTGATTTTTTTGTTTTTTTTTTTTTTTGAGATGGAGTCTCACTCTGTTGCCCAGGCTGGAGTGCAGTGGCATAATCTCGGCTCGCTGTAACCTCCACCTCCTGTGTTCAAGCGATTCTTCTCTCTCAGTCTCCTGAGTAGATAGGATTACGGGCATGAGCCACTGTACCTAGTCCCCACCTTGACTTTTGAAAACAGGGCAATGATTACATGTGATTGTGTGTGAAATAATTTCCAAATTCTGTTCTTCATAACTCTGACATTTTCTGTAAGTTCTTCCACCCGGCATCGGCAGAACCCTTCAAGCCCAAGTCCCTGAAGCTCCACGCCACTGTCTTAAGAGGTACCATGCATGCTGCTCCCTGGGTCCTAGCACACTTCCCCTGCACTTTCTGCAAAATGCTTCAAGAATTTCCCTGGCCATTTGGCAAGGCCATCTCAACAAAAAATTCTATAACTTCCTACCTACTTGCAAAAATGGGACATTTAAAATTCGCCTTTGAAAAGTTGCATGTAATTTCTGAGGACAGAATCTGATTTTAACATCCTAGTCCAGCTCACATTTGAAGTGAAAGCTTCCAGAGCCTGAGGGAGGAAGAAAGTGAGCTATAATGAAAGGCAGCCAGTACTGGAAACAAAGAGCCCGAATTTTAGTCACAGTTCCACTGCTGAGGAGCTGAGCGACCTCAGGGAAGGTATATAAGCCCGAGCCTATCCTCAGAAATAGGGAGGAACTGAGTGAAATGAGCTTCAAGACTTACTATGTGAGTATTCAAAGCTCTTAAGAATATCTGTAACTTAAAGAACACTTAGGGCCAGGCGCGGTGGCTCGCGTCTGTAATCCCAGCACTTTGGGAGGCCAAGGCGGGTGGATCACGAGGTCAAGAGATTGAGACCATCCTGGTCAACATGGTGAAACCCTGTCTCTCTACTAAAAATACAAAAATTAGCTGGGCATGATGGCACATGCCTGCAGTCCCAGCTACTTGGGAGGCTGAGGCAGGAGAATTGCTTGAACCCAGGAGGCGGAGGTTGCGATGAGCCGAGATTGTACCATTGCACTCCAGCCTGGGTAACAAGAGCGAAACTCTGTCTCAAAAAAAAAAAAACCCTCAAAATGGGGATGATGAATTTGTTTGAGGAAAAATTATATTTTGTCCAGGTAACCAACGGAGTCCAAATCACTATGAGAGAAACAATGTTTCTTTCCTGAGCATTGCCTTTTTCTCAGGAGAATGAATATTTGTTCAAGATTTTCTTTAGAGCAACTTTGACATCCTTATTCCTCAGGCTATAAATTAATGGGTTGAGCATGGGCACCACAGTGGTATAGAACAGGGAAGACACTTTGCCCTGGTTCATAGGTAAAATAGAAGAGGGCTTGAGATACATGAATGCCCCCGACCCAAAGAACAGAGAAACTGCAATTATGTGGGAGCTGCAGGTGCTAAAGGCTTTGGACCTGTCCCCCGTGGAATGAATATGGAGGATGCTGGAGAGAATGAGAGCATAGGAAATGAAGATGGTGACTGTGGGCAAGCCAATATCAATGCCCACAACAACAAACACTACCAGCTGGTTCACATAGGTGCTGCTGCAAGCGTGCTCGAGAAGGGGAAGGATGTCACACATGTAGTGGTTGACAACATTATTGGCACAGAAGGTCACACCCATCATACATGCTGTGTGGGCCATGGCCCCAGCAAACCCCATCCCATAGACACCCAACAAAAGGAGCAAACACACCTGGGGAGACATGGTGACCCTGTACAGCAGTGGGTTACATATGGCCACGTAGCGATCATATGCCATCGCTGACAGGATGAAGGACTCAGAGACAACAAAGAAAAGAAAGAAGAAGAGCTGAGTCATACACCCAGCGTAGGAGATGCTGTTCTTCTTTGAGACAAAACTCATCAGCATTTTGGGAGTGATAACACTGGAATAGCAGAAATCTATGAAGGACAAGTTATAGAGGAAGAAGTACATAGGGGTCTGCAGGTGAGAGTTGAGCTGTATCAGGGTTATCAAGCCCAGGTTCCCCACCACAGTGACCATGTAGAAACCTAGAAACAGGAAGAAGAGGGGGATCTGGAATCCCGGCTGGTTGGTTAAGCCTGCGAGGATAAACTCTGTCACGGAGGAGGAGTTCTCAGCAGCCATTCTCATCTAAGGCATTCTGTGGGGACAAGGGAAAAAGTTATTTAGAAAGAGAGAGGAGAGACCACTGCTGCCCTCCCAGTCACCCTCCCTTCCTTCTTGAGAATAGGAGGCACACAGAGAGGTTTTGAACTTCAGCAGAGAGGGCTTCGCTGCAGCTCCCTCCGGAACATGCCCCACCTCCATGCCCAGGGCTGCTGGGAAGGACTCCGTCTTTACTTTGGTCCTTTTGTTAGATCCTTCTAACTCCAATTTCTACTCAAGTTTACAGAAACTGAAGCCCATCTCTAGGAAGTGTCCTCACAGAGGCTGGACCCAGCCCACCTGTGCCTGGAGAATCCACTTCATGGTCATCCTAGACAGAGCAGAAGGGTGGGGTGGTCTTTCCCAGAGCTTTAGTATCTGAGACTGGGGACTCGGGAAAAGTTCAGACTGCTCATCCAGATTCAGCCACTCATCCTCTTCAGCCCAGAGCTTCAGTGATGTACCTTTTGGTCCAGCTCTTATCTTCATTTGTTCAGACAGATTGGCTGCGGAGCTATCACAGATGAAAGACTAAGCATCATCCCGCTACGCCCTATCCTGATGGCAGCACTGGTGCCTCGGCTGCCTCAGAACTCTTTGTGAGCTACAGAACATGGCATCTAATGGAGGCTGCACCCTCAGGCCTTTCTCTATCTTGCAGAAGGGAGACAGCATCCTTACCATTACCAGTGACAGCTGATGACAGGAGACTGAGCAGTTTTATTCTGAGTTTGGAGATCTTGGGACCTGATTAGAAGTAGAACACCAGAAGTTCCCTTGGGATCACAGCCCTAGATATTAAAAAGTAACAAAGTTGTGCTTATAACCTTGATAATATTTGAATGAGCTTTTAGAAACATGAAAATATTTGTTCAATTAACATCTACTTCGAAATATACAAAGCATTGTGCAAAAACAATAACTTACCATTTATTGAGCACTTAATGTATACATAGCCAACGCTTTTTTTGTCTTTGCATTATGCACTGACCTCAGCATGCCAAGATCCAATACCATTATTCATGTAATGCTTCATTTTAATTCTACCCCAAATTCTATGAGCTGGGTTTTATCACCCTCATTTTAGAGGTGAAGTAACTCCCCAAATGTTAAATTACAAAGGCCATATTAAAACTAGGTCCATCTTAGTCCAGATATTGTGTTCTTAACAACTAAGTTGAATACCTCCCCTGTGGAAAGTAATGATGTATGTAAAGCACAGTTCTTGCCTTCAAGGCTCTGACCTTGTCTTGAAAAAGATGCTGGAACACACATAACTAAGCAAAAGAATGTCATAAGATCCAGAAAAGGCCAAAACAAAATGCTATGCCAGTTTGGTGGAGAGCATTCAACCTATAACTTGTATTTCAGTTCATTGCTGAGCTGCACAATAGCCAGTCCAGAAGAGAGACCAATCTGTTTTTTCTTGGAATTCGAGGTTGACAGTAAAAATCAATCTCCATTGGTTAAGCAGAGTTTTTTTCCAAAACTGCTAACTTGTTGGGATTCCCCTGGATGGCCCCTGTCCTCCATCCTTGCTCTTTCCAGTCTTATTTTCCACTCTCTTCAAGTTCCCATCCCCTCATTGTGAGCCTGAAGGCCTTGTAGTTTGATTCTCCTTCTTCCCATGGGATATTTGCTTCCTCGTTTTGTTTGCTTTACTCTTTCCGTAACTCCCCTCTCTCATGACAAAAGTCATCCCTCCTGTGTCCCAGCCTCTCAGAGCCTTGCTTGAGCTCAGTGACAGCTAATTATCCCTCTTGGAGCCCCATAAAGTTGAATTAATATTTAAAAATCATCTAACCCTGTGGTTCACAAACCTACCTGTACAATTGAATAACTATATGTTTATTAAAAGTACAAATCCTGCTGCCCCAAGCCTGACAGCATAAATTAGAATCTCCAGGGGTGGAGTTTTATAACTTGCATTTCTCACCCTATCGATCTGGATATTTACACAGATTTGGAATTCACTGACCTAATCCTCTACCCTGTGTTTTCTAGACAGAAAAATTGAAGTCCACCAGTCAGAATTGGTTGGTGGTGGTGTCCAGAATGAAACTTGGGTCTCCAATCTCTCCAGTTACATTGTCTGGAAGAAGTTCACTCAGCCTTTAGTTTGGCTAGAATGCAGAGTACAGGAAGGGACATAGTTGGGTATCAGCCCTGGAATAGCCTCCCAGGTTCCTACTTTGGAGAGACTTGAACATCATGACAGTAATTATGTATGCAATGTGATTCCATGGAATATATTGAATAGGGAAGCAACATGGTCAGAGTTGTGCGGAGGGAGAACAATTAGTCTATTGGGTTATTGGGTGTTGATGACTTGATGCCAAGATTCCACCAAGTGCCACTTTTAAGTTGTAATTAAGACACAATGCCTTAGCTCAAAACACCAACAATAAGATAAAGGGTGAATTTTCAGAACAAGTAACACGTAAATGGAGCAAAAGTTCTTTCTAAGCTTTTTAGCACATTACAAATCACATAAGGCTGGCCCTGCCTTCTAGCTGTGTTGTTCTTTGCCTACTATCCTGAATATTTTCACCAGGTCTGAGTTCAGGTCCCATCACCAAGCTCTCTGTGTTGCACATGTTTTATGCCTCATTTTCTATTACTCAGCCTATCCTTTGGGATTCTGCTGTTGCTATGGCAGTGAACTGCATCCAGCTATAGCACAATAACAATATTTCCTGACTACACTATGTGTCCATCACCTCCTTTTCTGTCCTAGGACATTTCTGTCCCAGGATTCTCAGACAAAGTGAAATGTCTGAGAATCCATTCAGCCATTCTGGTGCATGTGCAGACCTGTAAGTGTGAAGGAGTTAATACCCCTGGGAGCCAGTGGGTAAATGTCTCCCTTTTCTGTATCTCCAGTGGTTCATTCTTCTTAGTACATCAAAAGATCTCAGAGGAACTAATTCTAAATTTCCCATTAAGGTAACATATAACAAAGGCTTTTATTGGTTTTCTATATTTCCCTGTTTTTCTCTTTCTCTTCCCTGGGATTACTTCTAAAAATAGGCTATCTGCACGCATGGCCTTGTCTCCAGCACAGCTTTTTGTGGAAATCCCAGCTAAGGTACTCCTAAAACAGTATTTGGAGCAGGTTTAAACAAAACGTTCCTTACTCCACCTGGGAGGAAGCATCTTCACCCAATCTCTTTGATTCCAGGATAAGAAACTAAATATGAATTGCTAAATTCATCAAGGACCTGAAATTACTCTGTGCCATGTTACAGACAATTTTTATGTCTTGAGCATGACCTATCAAAATGCCAGAAAGAGTAATCTCAAATAATTATTGGCTCACACCCTAATAGGAATTAGCCACAACAAATCCTACGGTACTTTGTTCTTAGATCTCTTGCAGCTCAACTTACATGTGTTACTGCCCTATCCCCCAATGAACTATAATAATGCCAGCAACGTTGTAGTTGTATTCACTTTTATATCTTCAAATCATATAGCTCACAAAAATGTTCATTAATCTCTAATTCTCAATGTCCTCATCTATAAAATGTAGATGATGGTGATAATTCAGTGTTGGTGTGAAGGTTAAATTAAATCATGAAAGTGGAAGAGCCAATCAGAGAGGCTGACAAATGAAAGAGCCCTGACAAATGCTGTGGAAAATAGACGTAAAACATATATAAAATGTATGTATTATATATATATATATATATATATATATATATATATATATATATATTAGGGATGGCATGAGGGAAGGAAAAATCTTGTTTAAAGTTAGACGAGCCTGAAAGAGACAAGAGAGGGTCTACCAGAGGGCAGAGGAAGAGAGGAGCTTTGGAACGATACACTTTTCAAACTTTAAGGTCCATCTCTCCAACATAACCCAATCCACAGACAACATCAGGCCCTTGAGTATTTTACCCTGTCCTTACTTCCTGTCCTACCTATTTTTCAATATCCATATTCTACCACAAAAGCCAAATTCCAAAATCAGTTAAGCGTTTCTTTACAGCCTCCCATTTTCTCTTCCTATACCCATCTCAAGTCTCCTAGTCTCAGAAGAAGAATTTTAATGCTGACTTTCCTTCAATTCTATGTCAAAACTAAGTTTTCAGGAAGAATCTCACAAATTCATCAACACACAGTCTACCAAAACTTGTTGGGGACAATCCACATTCTTCACCCTCTTCCAGGCATTTTTTGAAGTGAAGATGATGTCTTTCGCCAAAAAAATAGATTTCCAGTTATGAAATTTCAAACAGCACTCAGTAAATGAGAGGTACCTTTTAGTCAGAATAAGGCAACTGAAGTCGTGATGTGGTGGCTTCAGAATTAGAGCCCCATTGGCAGCTGCCTGAACTCCATACAGCAAGCTAATTACCACTCTTCTCTCAGTCCTGTGTGTGTAGGGGTGTGTGTGTGTGCGTGTGTGTGTGTGTGTGTCTGTGTCTGCGTGTGTGCATGTGTGTTTTGTGTATAAGTCTTTGGTGACATTTGAACATACCTCAGAGCTTGCTCTTCTGCCACATGTGGAATATATTTTAGTCACTGCTCAGAAACAAGAGGGCTCAAGTGTAACTTTTATATGTAGAAATTTGCCATGCCCTCAGTGATTATGAGGACCTGCGATCCTTGCTCTCATTCCCACTGTAGTCAACTCACAATTTAAGAAAACAAGTCATTATTACAAGCATAAAATGAGCCCCACAGGAGCGTACTCCTTAGGGCACAGAAAGCAAAGACACCAGCTTCATTAAAAGTTGACTTTTCTCCGGGAGGCTTAGAGGATTCTTGTTTGGATGATAGAACAACCAAGAAAAGTTCTTCTGGATTTATGACATTTTAAAGCCTGTTGCCATGGAAACTACGCTTCAAAATCCTCTCAACTGGGGCTTTACTAAAGCCTTGTTCCCTGAGAAGCAGATGAAGCCCAAGCAGGAAGCAGTGTAGGAAGAACTATTCTTAACTCTGTTCCTTTTGTTGCAGAACTGCCCTCTTTCCAAAACTTGAATTTCTGTATAGTGCTCCTTTGTTTTATTTATTTCTATCTTTCCCTATCTTTTAAAA